GAGTGGAGTTAATGCATTAACAGGAATTTAACAGACTGGCATTGTCTCTTTGAATGCTGTGCTCTCCTGATACAAATGCACACACTTGGACAGGGCTTCCTGCCCCTGCTCCCCTGGGAATGTCTGCTGTTTCCCTCTGCTTAGTGGCTCAGGCCAGGGGGAAGCAGAGGAGGCTCTCTTTGGACTCGTGTCCCGATTGCATTCTCCAGTTCGGCTTGCCAGTGAGGTCAGAGTGCTGTGGGTTGTCTGGCACTTATCTGGTCATTTATAAAACAAATACTTGGGTCTCCTTTTGGTCTCTGTTTGGGGTGCCTTCTCCATTGGCCAGATTCAGCGGGGTGAAGGGATGACATGCTGGTGGGCTTCCCTGGAGCCTGGATGGTAAAATCAAGGACTGGCCTGGTGGGGACTCCAGTACCATGGATTTAATTAGGCAAAGGCTGGCAAAATAATTCTAACCTGCAGCTTTCTATGTGTAGTTGAAGCTGGAATAGAGTTACCTCAGTTCCACGTGGGGGCAGAACAAAGGAATATTAATTTTGGATTCAGATTACTTGTGTGAATCTCTAGTAAGCGATGCTAGATTGGCTGTCCCGGGTCCTGACTGTCTCCTTTGTTTTGAACGGCATTTAGGGCTGCAGAAGGAGCGATGGAGGGAGGTTATTTATGGCCTGTGCACAGGCTTCGAGAATGATTTCCTACCACACAGTCTCAAGTTGGCTCCGGGGTGTACATTTATTAAGCCCTGATTTCAGATGCCCACTGTGGGGATCGGCATGTCCCACAGATCCAAAGGCCCAGGACCCCTTATATGGAGGAAATGACTCGGTGGAGAAACACTCAGTAGAATTATTACACACTTGGAGGATAAAAGAGACATGAACACATCGAGTGCCGGGAACACTCTGTCTCTAGAAATCAGATGTATTCAGGGAATCAGTCTTAGCTCTGTAGTGAGAAAAGTCAGCAAAAGAGAGAATGAAAAAGGAAGTTCTATGGATTGAGCTGAGGGAAAAGACAATTTTCTTGGGAGAAATGTTGAGGTCTTAGAAGTCACGCTTGAGATATAGTAAGAGAGAAAGGAAACGTTTCTACACCTACATGCTTTTAAGGATGGAACTAAAAAAGAGCAGAATATTTACTCATTTCTGGATCAGGGAGGATGAGTGGGGTCTAGAGATTTAATAACGCTGCAAAGTGGAGTGAAGCCGCTAGAGGGAGCGTGGAACCAGGGAACTAGTGTTGACAGCGGCTTGTTTGGCTTGAAGGGAGGCCAGGAGGTTTAGAGGTGAACACTGCACACATATGGTTAGCCCAGTGGTTGGCAAACCTCGGCTCGCGAGCTACATGCGGCTCTTTGGCCCCTTGAGTGTGGCTCTTCCACAAAATCCCCCGTGCGGGCGCGCACGTACAGTGCGATTGAAACTTTGTGGCCCATGCACAGAAGTCGGTTTTCTGCCTGGGTGAGTCTATTTTGAAGAAGTGGCGATAGAAGAAGTGGGGGGTGTCGGTCAGTCTGTCGATGGGAGACGCAGTGCGGTCCTCAATCTGATTGGGCGCGGGGGAGGAACATTGTTTTGAGGTACGTTTGCTGAGGTCGACCCCTTCCAGCTCTCCCATCCACGCTCGTCTGTCTGGAACAAGTAAACAAGACGAGTGTGGATGGGAGAGTTGGAAGGGGTTGACCTCAGCGAATGTACCTCAATCAGATTGAGGACGTTTTTAGCAAAGGCCAGCTTAGGAGTGCCCTAATTAAGTTAATAACAATGTACCTACCTATATAGTTTAAGTTTAAAAAATTTGGCTCTCAAAAGAAATTTCAATCGTTGTACTGTTGATATTTGGCTCTGTTGACTAATGAGTTTGCCGACCACTGGGTTAGGCAAGTCTGAAAGGGACAATCATTTGGGAGTGGGAAGAGGATGGGGGAAGGTATCGTCTATGCTCTGAGGGGACAAGCTGAGAACTGTGATCAGGACCCTCCATGTAGTTACTGAGAAGGTGAAACACACGAATGGGAAGTCATGCAGGAGAGAAATAGATGAAGTCACATCTGAGTTAAATTGGGGCGACTGGGAGTATTACTTTAAAATTTTAAATATCACAAGATGACAGAATGTCTTCCGTGCCCCCCTTCCAGAGAAGAGACAGTAGGCAGGCCCCCACCTCTAATGGGAAACTTAATGCCCCAGTTAACCCCTCCATGGGGGATGTTGCTGAAAGAACACCCACACTGAGAGAAGAATTTCATGAGTTTATTTGGGCCTACATTTTGAGGACATGCCTGGAAGCAAGATCTCAAAGGATTGAGAAAATGCTCCTGAGAAGACAGTCAAGGGTTTCCCTATTCTCTCAGATACCACCAAGTGTTGCCCCGTTTCGTTGCTGGCTTATGTAATCAAACGTAGTAATTTGATTCTGGCTGAGCTCAAAGGCCCCATGTGTCAGGAGGAGGCTGTCATTGAGATTCCTTGTCATTTCTGTCTTCTGTTTCAGCTGCACTGGGCCCTGGCTAAGCAAGCCAAATTCCAGCCCCTGTGCTGCCCCAGCTGCCCACTGAGGGGACTGTCCGGAGGAGCACAGATGAGATGGGCTCCCCCTGCAGCAGCACTGCTCTGAGAACCCCTGTGGAGAAGGTGCGCAGGAGGTGGCTGTGGCTCAGTGCCAGTCTCCACCGCACCTTTTCCCTGCCCCTTAAATCCTCATCAAAGGTTTCTTTGCCTCTATTGCTTCCCCGAATCCCCACAAAAAAACCATGCACTAGGTTCTGGGCACATAGTTGAGAATATGTTTGTGTTTCTAAGTTTTGCTGGTGTGGTATTCTGTGT